AAAAGAGAGAGCACTGATTCTATTGAATGGAGATATTTTTGTGGAATCTTCTCTGGTGACTCGTAATCTAAAGCTGTTGAATCCAAGGAAGGCAGTTTTAACCACAGTATTTAATCTTATGGAGACATTTATTGCATAGATTTTTGTTTTGCCTTGTTTAATATAAACCACCAGAGAGATGTTTCTTGGTTTTGTCATTTCATAAAAGAGTGTGAAATGAAAATCCCAGATAAGAAAAGGCCACTCCTTCTTCAGAATTGTCACAGACTCTGCATTCAGGAAGGGATCCTGGACCTTAAAACACACCAATAAAAATACTAACATTAATAATAATTACAGTAACAATGGTTAACCAATATCCACAGAGGAGCTCTGGAGTAGCGATTATAACGACTACTTCTGGAATTAGACACACCTGGTTTTATTAACAGTTCTTACTCTTCCTAGCTGCATTCCCTTGAGCAAGTTATCTTCTCTAAGCTCAGGTTCCTCATCTCTAAAATAGAGGATATTAATAGTCCTTATTTCACAAAGTTGCTATGAATTTTACATGGAATACTGAATGAAAAGCTCTTAACACAGTATCTGGCATGCAGTAAAAAGTCACTAAGCTCTAGTTACTATTGTTATAAATAAGAATATAGTTTATTATAAGCTTATTACTTGCCAGGGGTCTCCAAATACATGATCTTTATTTCTGATAACAATTTATGGAGCAATTAATACTTGTTTCCACCATACAGATAAATGAATTACATTACATGTCATTTGGCTAGGAAGTTGTAAAGCAGTGGTTCTCTTAGGTCTAAAAAATATGCCAGATTTTATTTGAATATAATCAAACTGATAGAAGGGCACAAAAGATCCCTCCAATGTCATTGTTTCAAGTTAGTATTTGTAAGAACTATAAAGTCAAGATAAAGTTAAGGATAGTCTTTACTAAAATAACCAATTTAATAAAAATCAATTTACTACTCCCTTCAAGCTTCACACCAGAGTTTTCAGTGAAACTCAAATGCCATCCAATTAACTAACTGTCTATCATATGTAGACTTTAACAACCTGAAGTTTAAGAGTCTCTGTTTTAGTCAGGACTGTTTGGGTAAAGATTAATGAAGCACATCTCAAAATGTCTCAAGCAAAATGAAAATGTATTGCTCTGGTGTCTGAGAATTCTAGAATCCAATTTCAGGTAGAACTGGATCCAGTCTCTTCTCTTTCTTCTTCCTCCAGATAGTTCCATTTTCAGCTCTGTTTCTCTCTATGAGTTGGCTTTCTCCTTTTCTCTGAAAACAGGCAGAATGTGTTGACACAGATATTTGTCAAAAACCTCAATACTTGGTTACCCAACAGGTGGAAGACCTCCTTTTCTTCCAATATCTGCTTTTTGGTCATCAGTAAGTACTATGATTAGCCCACAGAGTATAGTCAGTTCTATGAAGAAGTGGGCTAGAAGGAACATTTGATTGACAGCCCCACAAAGACTTCTTGGAATGGGAAAACAAATCCCCAAAGAAAGAGTTCTATTCACAGAAAGACAAGATTAAAAGTGTACTAAAGTAGATCAAGTTCCAATGAGTGCAATATTCACTAGATTTTTTTAAAGGAAGAACTTGGAAGGTTTAACTTTTGTCTATTTTCATTTACTTATTTAGTCAAATAATTGTAGAGCATCTAAATGTTCTAGATATTTAAGAAACATAGAGAAGAGAAAGAGGGAGAGAAAGAGGGGGTGCACTTGTATAGCATTGCATTAATTTTTTCCTATGGCTGCTATAACAAATTAGCACACACTTTATGGTTTAACAAACCAGATATACACAACCAGTCTCACTGGGATACAATCAAGGGGTCAGCAGGTCTGGTTCCTTCTGGAGACTCTTGAGGGAAGTCAGTTTCCTTGCTCGTCTGGCTTCTGGATTTCCTTGGCTCTTGACACCTCCTCAAAACACTAATGTCCCCATCTCAAGACTCTTAATCATATTTGCAAATTTCCTCTTGCTAAAGAAGGTAATATTTACAGGTCCCAGAGATTAGGATGCAGGTATCTTGGGAGATCATTATTCAGACTTCCACATGCATAATCCAGGAAGGTATGACAACCAAAGCAAGTAGGCTTACTGTCAGACAAAGAAAGACATAAGAGATAAACCACAGATTATACATAGGCTAAAGAAGTCACTTTCAGCTTCTAGGATCCAGTTTGTGTCTTGGCAGATAATGATAACAGCAAATATTTATATTCCTTGTGTGTTAGACATTGTTCTCAGTGCTTTGCTTATGTAACTCCATCTTCATAATAAACTATTTTCATTGTATAGAAGAGGAATTTAAGATACAAAGATATGTTAAATGACTTGTCCAATATCACATTGAACTAGCAGAGCTAAGATTTGAACCTAAGGGTCTGAATGCTTTTGATCATTTGAGATGGAATTTAAAGACTGGATAAGCAGGCTGACACAATGAAGAAATAGAAGGCCACTGCAAACAGGGGGAACAGAGAACAAAGGTGCAGAGGCAGGGAAATGAAGCAGAGATTCAGTTGGTGAGTAGGTCAGGTTAAGTGGAGCTTAGCAAGCTTAGAAGCAGTAAGAGATGAAGCTAGAGATTTAGCTTGAAGACAAAGTGTGGAAACTATGGGCATCTTCCAGGGCTCCTGGACTGCAGGAGAGAGGTGGGAGCCTAAATCACAGCATAGCATAGAATGTGCCAGTGTTTCTGGCTCTCTAGAGAGTGGGAAGTTGAGTGGGGACAGGAGAGAGGGGGCATGGATGTTGGCACTGATACAAACAATAATACTATTTTGAGTCAATTTAAAGCATCTTTAGCCACATTGACCAAAGTATTTTAACATGATAAAAAATACCCAGATTTGGAATATGCAGATCTATATCGAAATCTTGGCTTTGTCACTTGCCTCTGTGGGTCTTGGTATTTCTCAACACCCCAACCTTCATTTTCTTGTCCTTTAAAATAGAAATAAAAGTATTTTATTGGTAATTGTTAGCTTATAAGGTAATAGTTATCAAGATCAAATAAGGTTTCAGCAATGTTACTGTGCATTATTATTAAGGTTATATTCTTATTTAATATCACCTTTAGGTCCATGTTGTTATTTTTGCCTCACTTTATAGATGAGGAAACTGAATAGATAGGAATTAGCCAAAGTCATACAGTAGATTAGAATCTCAAGGGTAAGAATCCCAACTATGGGCAAACTTCAGCAAGCGAAATGAAGGGAATTTAAGGGAACAGGCAGGGCATGTGTTATTCCACAGATGAGCTAGAAGGGCATCTAGAAACATTTCTCGCATTTCTTAAGGATGCACGAAAAGCACAGACTTGAGAACACCCAGCTTTTCATCAGTCCACAGCAGTTCCCCGGGCACCTTGGCAGAGAAGCACTAGCAGTCTGGGAAAGGTGGAGGGAAACCTGGTCCCCACCTAGCAACACCCTCTGCGCACATAGCGACCAGGGTGGGAGCAGCTGCTACCCTAGAGCCAGGCCCTGTGATTAGCCAGATTCCCGGGCTCCACCCCAACCTGGTCCCCCTGGTCTCAGTGGGTTGGCTTCCTCTGAAGAAGCAGAGATCCTGCACGTCTTCAGTCACCTCAGCGTTAGGGCTGCCTTTCTGTTCTCTCAAACTCCCAGGGAGGTGTCAGTGTTGACACGCCACTGCTGGGTAGACAGGGAATTTAACAATCACAAATTCTGAGTCTTCAAGAGAAGTTTCCAGACAGCTTCAAAGAGGTTGAACCCTTCACAGGCTTTAGCACTGTCCAGACACTAAGTAAAACTGGGGTCTTGGGAAGAACCCTGCTCAACCTATGTGTAAAGATCTCTGCCCCTCACTCTGTGTGACCTTGGTGAGGTAAAACACCCTCTCAATCTGTAAAGTGAGCCTTTGGATTAGAATGATCCCTAAAGCCCTCTCAGATTCTAAAAGACTCTGAAAGGAGCGGTCAGCTGGTGGCCAGTTTTGCAGAACTTCTGTTTTCCTTGACATGACACCTGTTTAAACATCCAGTGTTTATTCTATGCAAGATCTCAATCTCAGATTTATCGGATTGTTGCCGAATCAGATCCCTTTTTCCCATGTGCAGTGCTCCTTCACACCTGTCTCCTTGCTTTCACCCTAAGTGCCTGAGAGCAGAAGTGGAATTATCCTCATTTCGCAAATGGGGAGATGGAGTATCAAAGCTGAATATGGAGTTTTTTCATGTGTCTTACTAAACCCTTGGTTTCCCGTCTGATGTCTTACCTAATGACTTAGTAGATCTGCCTTGCAAACCTCTTAGGTAAGATCTCCAGCTCTGCTAATTGCTGCACAGGTGATACAGAGTAAGTTACATAGTTACATATACCTGCTTCCTCAACTGCAAAGCAAGAATGATAAAAGTCTAAAGAGTACCTTTTGCCTTTATTTGGAGTTTTAAATGAGATAGTATAGGTGTATGGGGTGGCAAAATTTCACCTCCATCCTCTTAAGATCCTAGCTATGCTCTAAAATTAAATTAAGAGTAGAAAAAGTATATACGTTTCTTTAAAACATGTTTCATATGGGACAGGAAATAAATTGCTACAAAAGCAGTTAGAACCAGTTACTTATATTGCAAACTAAACAAAGACTGGTAAATTGTGATTAAACCATTAAATTAATTAGAGGAGGCTTAAAGGATAAGAGTTACATTAACATATTCCTTCAGTCTCAACTACTCATCCTTGAGGAGAGGATGTAGCATCTTTCATGTAGGAATTTCATCTTCTGCTGTGATCTTTCTATATCTCCTATTTTTCAAGTGCCGTGAACTTCGTCAAAATGCCAGAGTCGTTTATTGGAATTCTTTCATAGGTTAAGCAGTAGGTGCTTGTACTATTATTGTTGTTGTTATCAATGAGGACACTGCAAGTGCCTAATGACAAATCAAGAGGAATGATTTTTTCTTTTTTTAGGTTTTTCTACTCATAAAGATTTGAAGCAATTTTGAGAAGAATCATGTCTTCAGGTTGGAAGATTCCCCACAAGTCAAATGCAGTGCCTGAGATCGCAGAGAAAATCGTTGGAAGTAAACACTTTCGATACCTTGTGGAAGAGCCAAAGATGTAGGTTTCCTATGTGAAAAATATCTGTGTTTCTTGGATGATAATCAAATTGGTTTTTTAAACCCAGAAATTTACATTTTAAAAATGCCATCCGTGGAAAATTAAGTCATTAAGATGTAACAGAAGAAGTAAAACAGCATTGACAACTTCCATGCACACTGTTTTCCTGATATTTTTCATCTTTATAATTCCCCATACTCCTTAATTACTTGGGCTGATTTTCCAGATAAATGGGAAATAGGAGCATTGTGACATTTATAAATATTAATGGAGTACTGCTGCTTCTTTTCATCAGGTTTATAATCTACCACACATAATAATTTGTGGGGGAGCAGGAAAAGGGGGCTGTTAGTCAATTTGTTGTGAATTAAAGGAGTAGGATTAATAATGAATCATACGTTGTAAAGTTTTTCACATATTCTAATTTGTATTTGATACTCCTCTAAGCAGGGGCTTCCTAGAGCTTCCTAGAGCATAGCCAATAAGTCTTTCTTTCTGTCCAAACTCATCACAGCCACAGTCGAGAAAGGACACTCAAATGTCTCTAAAATTCACTGACTACCACAGAGCATATGAATAGCTCTTCCTTTCAGAGTTTTGGTAGTTTACAAAAGAAATGAAAATACCATACCTGCCTTCTTTTAGTATGCATTCTATAAACAGTAGCTAGTAAGTTGCCTTCCCTTCCTTAGATTATTTCCTTAGCTCTCTTCCTCTATTTCAGAAACCCACAGAATGAATAATTAGACAAAAAAGATATGGAATCATTAAACACAGGTGCAGAAAACAGTGGTTCCTAAACCTATCATCAAAATCACCTGAAAAGTCTTCAAAAATAAATATATATGGTCTAATACAAGACCAACTAAACCAGAACCTCTGAATGCAGGTCACCAGGAACACTGTTAAAAAGTGCAATCTTCAGCTGGGTGCCAGTGGCTCACACCTGTAATCCTAGCTACTCAGGAAACAGAAATCAGGAAGATTAGGGTTCAAAGCCAGCCCAGGCAAAAAGTTCCTGAGACCCTATTTTGAAAAAATCCTTCACAAAAAATAGGGCTGGTGGAGTGGCTCAAGGTGTAGGCCCTGAGTTTAAGCCCTAGTACCACAGGAAAAAAAAGTATGGGCTTCAAAAAGGCTTTAGGAACACCCATGGGTTTTACTTCTCTACTATCAGTATTGTCATCCCAGAGAGATTCCAAAGCGAGTGCCATCATCATGACACATGCCATGGCCAAGGAAGTGAGCTTGAGAGCCCACAATTCATGCAGCTGAGATCCCTGCAGAGCTAAGTCATGTAAGTTTAAGTCCTAGTTTTGTTCGTTCTTGGTGTTTTGACATTAGGAAAGTGAGTTACCATCTCTGGCCTTTGATTCTTTGTCTATAAAGGGTGGTTGTGAATATTAAATGATATTAAATGAGAAAAAGTACACAAAGTACCTTCCCAGTGCCTGTGATATCCAATGTGCTTAATATATGGCTCTGCTACTATTATTGAAGCATCATCTTCTATAGTTATAAAATATATAATGAAAAACCAAGTGCTTGCCATTGCTTTTGCCTCAGAAACAGGGTATCTCTGTTTTGTAGATGAGGAAATTAAGACACTATGGTGTGGTGAGTGATCCTTTCAAGATCTCTCACCAATTCCCTGCCACTGTCAAGAAAAGTAAACAGGATTAGTTTAGACTTGGCCTTTTCTCTGTCTACCTGGAAGCGTACATTACTACTCTACTAATTCCTCTCCTTACAAAGGTTGTTTGTTTAGCCTCATTCTATTCAAAACCCCTTTCTTTTCCGGGGTACCAAATGTAATGTTTCTAAAAGGAAAGTAGGGGTCCTTGTCTTTTTAAAATAATGGAAAATTCAAGGTTTAAAAGATAAAAGTCACTTTAACAAGGTCAGCACCTTATTTTTTAAACTACAGGGACTAGGAAATAAAAGAATACATCAAATCACCTAAGTTAATTGTGAAATAAAAGCCACAGTTCCATCCCTCCTACAACACTGTAAAAATGGTATTGTTTTTATATTAAGACAGGTGTTTTTATGTTTTCTATGAATTTGGTGCTGCTGCTTCTGGGATAACACAGGGCAATTAACATTATTTGCTAAAATAATCTTGTATAGTTCAAAAATAAATGTCAAAAGACTTCTTGTTCCTAAGGTAAGAAACTCACCACTGTTAGCTCATGCATGTCCCCCAGAATGTCCCTTTCAAAGTGAAGTGTTTATATACTTAAACCAGGGCTTGAAAAGGGTGCTGTCTTTGGGCTGAAACAGTAGGAATAATTAGTAAATATCTATATAAGAAGCACAAATTAATACCAAAGGAAGGCAATGCCAATGTCTCCATTATTTAAAGAAAATCACAAATCAATGATGGGTAGAAAAGGGAAAATCTTCCAGTGTAACCACATTTAGCTTAGATTTCCTGTAGGACAAGTGTTGAAGATACAATATTATATCAGACCTGAAGATACAGACCAGTATATTAGCTTTCTAGGGCTACTATAACAAAGTGCCATAGACCAGGTGGCTTAGAACTACAGAAATTATTATCTCACACTTCTGGAACTAGAGGCCCAATGTCAAAGTATGAACAGAACTGTGCTTCCTCTGGGGGTGCCAGGGGAGGATCTTTGTCTCAGTGCTCTCTTCTTCCTTTTTCTGGTAGTTCCTTAGCTTGTAGCCTCATAAATCTAAGCTTAACAATGCTTTCTCCCTGAGTGTGCATCTATGTCTAAATTTTTTCCTTTTTATAAAGACACAGTGAATTGGATCAAGTTCACCCTCACCCACCTCTTCAGTATGATTTCATCTTAACTCATTACATCTGCAATAACCATATTTCCAAATAAGGTCATATTCTGAGATAGAGGTATTAGGACCTCAACATAGAAAACTTGGAGTTGGAGGAGAGACACAATTTGTCCCCTAACAACTGACCTTCCATGTCATAGATGAGATGAATTTTGTGGGCTTTAAGGCAAGTTGCTGAAGTTCCAGGCCAGTTTTTAAGAACTAAGATAGGACTAGAGCTTTCCCTCCCTCTTTCCTAAATTTAAGTAGTATAATTATTGTCAGATAAAAGGAAAATACACCTATTTAGCATATCTACTTTTCACAAAGGAGATCAATTTGTAGGTTTCAAAGAATAAAACAAGTATCCTGTAGATTGTGCAACTATCATTTTCCTACTAGATCAATATAATAGGCTTCCAAACCAGCAACTTGCTCCAATTTTGTTGTTCTTTAATGAACAACAAATGTCTCAAACCTCAATGTATAGTTTATGAACCACCAGCAACAACCTCACCTGTTAGAAGCCCAGCCTCAGTGCCCTCTCCAGATGTAGTGAGCCAGAATTTTCCTTTTAGCTGAATTCCCAGGTTGACCTCTATACACGTTTCCATTTCCAAATCCCTATTCTCAAGTTTGGTCAGCACAATCTTTGTCTAATACAAATCTGATCATGTGCCCCCACCAGCAGCCACAGACTTTCCTTCTACACCTGGGAGCTCCCTTAACATCCTTAGGGATATTTTACTTCATGACAACTTCCTATGCATTTCTCGCTCCCCCATTTAACTGTAAATTCTATGTGAAAAACTATATTCTTAATATAAAGTGCAAAGTCTTGTACAAGTTGAAGCCTATTAAATTAATTAGAGCAAAGTGATTGTCAAAAAAAGTAAAGCTCTAAAAAGACAGTACTTGGTTACTTTAATTAAATCTAAGTGTAAAGTCCCATTCTGTGAAAATACCATGCAGTTGTTACTCTGGAGCACTGATGAGTCATCTTTGATAGTTTGTGAAAAGAAAGATAAACCATGTGACAGGAAACAAATTTTTCCTTTTCCAAAAAGGAGGTAAGAGTGTAGAATGAAACCACAGAACCAGAGGCTTATGGATATTCTCTGGCAAAATTACAGTCAAAGAATTAAACATTGTTATTGTGAAATGAAACATGAAAATGGTGATCACCAAGGCTTAGTATGCATTGAAAAACAGATTATACCAAAATGTCCCATTCCCTTTATTGATGAGATTCCTACAGTCCAAATGAAGGGAATGAAAAGATGTACTTTGATTCCAATGAGTCATTAACACATCTTTTTCACAAAGACCTGAAATGAGGCAGAGAATTATGACTAAGTACTATTAAGGCAGGTAATATCCTTTTTTGGTTCATTATCTTTTAATAATAACACAATTCCACAGACTCGATACATTATAAAGGAAACAGATTTATTTTGGATCGTGGTTCTGAAGTCCAAAGTTGAAAAGACACATCTATTGATGGCCTTCTTGCTGGCAGAGTCCAAAGGTAGCTCAAGGCCCACAGCCTACTTGCTGGCAGGGTAAAGTCAGGGAGTGTGTATATCTCTTCTTGTTTCTCTTCCTCCTTGTTGAAAACTGCCAGGATTCAATGATGGGGCCCCTACTCACCTCCAAAGGCCCCACCCCTAAATATTATAGTCTAGGCAGACTATGTTTTCACCATTTTAACACCTCACAATGAGGATTCAATTCCAACATGAGTTTTACGGGGAGGACAAACTATATCAAAATTATAGTATATCCCAATGTGATGGTGATTGAACAATTGGTATGAATACAACTTACCTGCAGGAAATGGGAAGGTTTTTTTGTGTGGCTCTGTTCTTATTCAGTACTTTTTAATCCACAGTCAAAGGAAGACAGACAAATTATCATGGTAAACATGTAGGTAGAAGGGTGCTGAAAGCCTTCTCAAGAAAATAGGCTAAAACCAACGAGATGAAATCAACAGAGATACATACAAAGTCTGTCTTTCAATAAGTATGTTCATGCTATATGGAATACTTAGGTTTTGCGTGTGTTTGAGCTGACCACATAGTGACAGTATCTAGAGAAAGCAGTGTGGAGATCCTCTATCCTCAGTGGAAGACCGTGCTTCATTCAGATGCCACATCTTATGAGGGACCCTGTCACACTGAAGGTATGGGCATCCGAGA